TAAAAAGATTTAAAAATGCAATAGAAGTGTAAGTCTATTTTATAGGATGAAGTCTATTTTATAGTATAATTATGCAAAAATAAATATAAAAGCATGTCTGAATGTAAAATAACCAGTAATTTGGTAAAACGTGACTATAATACTACTTCTTTGATATGGAATACCCATTTAACTCATGAGCAATTTACAACTTTTAACTTCTGTATTCAAAATGACTACGACATCACAGGTTCTTTGTATAAACTATTAATAGAGTTCAAACTGATACGGATTTCATGTACAAGTGCCATTTTAGAAAAGATGTCTCTGTTCCAATACCAAATGAATCCATAACTCATATTCCAATTTTAAATGATTATTGTTCAGCCAATTCATGTTCGAAATGGACATAACTGTCCATAACTGGACAGTATAATTTTTTGTCTGATGAAACCACTGATAATATCAGTGACCTCATTTAAATAGATTATCAATAGTTAATTATAAAAACTTTTCAATACATTTTTGCAAAATTTATTGTCCATATATTTAAAATTGAATTATAATATGCAATTTGATATCTTATAACAGCTGTGTACTAAAGCAATTTTTGAAACTTGTTCTTTGCTTGATTTTATATAAAAGTAATTAAAAAGTTTCTTTTAGTGAAACTGTCTTAATTTGAATAACGAATAAATACTATTTAAGTTTCTTTTGTTACTTATTAACAAAATAATCTTTTTAAAAAATAATATTTTCATGCATAAAATACTTTACTTTAAATAAATTAATCTTGGTTTGTACTACTATGAAGTAGATCTAAGATCATTATCAGGCTTTAATCGTCTGTCTGGATAATAATTTTCAGTATATAAGAATTTTTAGGTATGTCGACATTAGGTAACATAAGTAGCTCATAATAGTGTCGTTTTCTATTACTTGCTATTTGGTCTACCCGACAATTAATTGGTGCACAATTAAAATTTCTGATTAAGTAGATTTTCCCCTGAATTAGGGATGTTTTAAAACTAAAAACTTGGTTGGATTAATCTAGTTAAGTTATAGAAAAAAACCAAGTACTCGTATCAATGTTCACATAAATTAACATCAAAGCTATTGTTTTTAAAATAATTAGTTAGTAAATCGATGAAACAAAAAACTGTATTGAAACACCACTGCATATGAAAATGAGTTTTACTTTACTCATGAAACTCAGACTAATTCAATTAACGCTTATTATGTGCCATTGCTTATTAACAAAAAATAAAATTACAGAAAAGTCTAAAGTTACACTCAAATTAATTAAGAAATTTTATCGAAATCAACTTAATACTAAAGAAAATTTGTCAAAACTTAAAGGAAAAACATTTCTTGGAAATCCACAGGGCTAGACTGCATCTGTAAAAATGCATCATAAAAAACTGAATCTGTTTATAAAATGTAAATATTGATAACCGCGCACGTTTTTATAATCAAATAATTTTTTGTTCTAAAATTATTTGCTATAATTCAACAAATCATAATTATAAAATTAAAAGTATCAAAAAATATAAACTTTTGAATGCAAAGTCTCTAAAACACATAAATATTTCCATTATTGTTGCAGGTTTGTACAATGATGTTTATTATCCTAAGTGCAGGTCCAGATTTTTTAATTAAAATTCTTTATAAATATAGAAAGAAAATAGAATTATCAAAGAGTGACCAAAAATATCCACTTAATAAAGATGGTCTAACTAAAACTAATCACAGTATTATTATTAAATACAACAACAAACGATGGTAATCAAAACAAAATATTGTCTATTGGAGTAATGAAACCATAACAAATGATAAACTAAAAACAATTTTAGAAGAAGCTACATTGACAAAAATTGTAACAAGAAAACTTAAATCAAATCAACTACATCTATTTTGCGCATGTAAATGTTCAAAATGTTTCTTCCATTTGACTGAGTGTATTAATATCATTGTCCAGTCAAATAGTATCATTACAAGTGTACTTAGACTATAATGCCTCAGTCTTCAAATAAAATATGGTGATGATCTAAATGCATTTTGCAATTTAAAGAAAATTTAATAAGCTTTTGTGTAACAATACTAAATAAAATTAAAAATGTTTTAAAAATGCTTTAAAAATGTTTTACTTTGTATTTTAAAAAAATATAAATAAAATCAATTAAGTTTGTAAGCGAGAGGTTTTGAACCCACACGAAACACTTCAACCACTTTGGCATGCTTTGTCATCTTTAAAAACTGTTTAATAAACCAAAGATAAAGCTTCTTTTTAAGTTGAAGAAAGTATCTTTTATGATTTGTTGACGAATTTTTTTGTCATAAAACATCTTATTAACGTTATAAACATTGACATTATTTAAAACATTGTAGACTAGCTGTCCGGACCTGGAAAAAACGGGTCTTAATAAATCTACTCAACACAAATCTTTTTTAGACTTATTCCTGATATGAATATTTTTTAGCAAGCTGTTAAAAAATAACTATATACATATAGAAAAATTAAACTTATTGTTTACTTTTTAAAGCAATGAAAAAAAAAATAATTACTTTAAATTAACTTTAAACGTTTCGCTAGCCCTTACGCGAATCGCTATTTATCAACGGATTGGATATTAGTACCTGTTTAAATAATATTTACATGAGATAACATAAATATGTAGTTAACGGATTTACAATGACCCATTTACTGGTCATGATAAGTCTGTTTCACTGCGACCATTATAACAGTTTCGCTTTATTTTAAAAAAGAGTAAGTTAGAAAGATTTTTGTTTTGAGTTAACTATTTATGTTTAATACTTTATAACTTCTATAAAAACAAATTAAAAAAAACAACAACAGAAAAAAAACAAAAAAAAAAACAGGGACAGATCTTTTCATTTTTATAGACCATCCGCAGCTTTTTAAGACTCCTGCCCCGTTAATTTTAAAAAGAGAGTTAAGGTTTGCATGTAAAATCTTTATTCTATAAAATAAAAAATTGTCTTTATAATGCGCGCAGGCTTAACTAATGACTTAAACACGTTAAAAACATACGTATCTCTATATGACATAAGCGCAAAAATTTTTTAACGGTGTTTTCATGTTTTTAGAGATTTTGAAAAACTTTTTTAAAAAATTCTTTCCCTTTCGTTTTTATATCTTTCTATATGTTATACATATAATATCGACAGGGCTTTAAAAATGTTTTACTTTGTATTTTAAAAAACTATTAATAAAGTCAATTAAGTGTGTAAGCGAGAGGATTTGAACCCCACACGAAACACTTAAACCACTTTGGCATGCTTTGTCATCTTTTAAAACTGTTTAATAAACCAAAGATAACATTTTTAAGTAAAAGTAAATATGTAATAACTTGAAGTCTACATGTTAGATATTTGATTAGACTTTTGTTCAAATAGATAATATGCAAATGATTACGGATTGTGGTTTTAAAAAGCTTTGTAAAATAAATAAATTTTTATTTTCACATTTATTAACAAATTAACAAAATATAGCAATTATTAATAGTTTTCAATTGTACGACTATATTAAACAAACACTAATTTAAAAAAATAAATTGATTTAAAAAAAAAGAAAAGAAAAAAAAAACCACAGGTTAACTAAAATTCAATTTATTTATTCATAATAAATGTTTAAAAGAAAGTTTTATTTTCAAAATTTTTTTTACCTATATCGGCATCAATTAACAATTGCAAAAAAATCAAAAAATTAGTAACTTTAAAAGCAGATTAAAAAACAAAAAATACATATTATTTACAAATAAAAGTATATATGACAATTATTTCATTTTTATAATTTAAGATATGATTATAGAAGGTTAAAAGCATGATATAATAATAGAAAGTTCAAAGCTTTTTGAGCAGCCGTGGCGCAGTGGTAGCGCACTTGCTTTGGAAACAAGGGTCCTTGGTTCGAACCCCACCTCTTGGCAAGTTTTGCGAAATCGGTTCGGAAGGAAGCGTGAACTTTAAATTAAATGCTCATCCGCGGTGCTTTGTGATAAGACCGTAAGGACTTTTTTAGGCACCAAAATTAAATTAAAAAAATAAAAAATTTAGAAATTTTAAATGTTAAATAAATATATATAATATACAGCGCGCATCTACAATAGCTTGCAATTATTAATTAAAAGCAAGTTGACTCTTTCAATATTATACTCTTCCAATATTATACGGTATACAATCTTAACTATTTTGATGGTTATCTAACACGGCTGTTTCAAACCGAGCTTAACGGCTTCTTGTTATTTTTTGAAAATATTGACTAAAAGGGTGTTACTAAAACTTCTATAACTTTTAAAATAATCAAGATAATTTTGTTTTGTAAAAAGAATAATAGCACCAATAAAATGTTTCATCTTATGACATTTAATGCATTAGTAAAAAAATTTCTTTAAGTTTAAAAAAAACGCGACAAATGATGACGTTGGCTGAATTCAAGTAATTTGATGTTACTTTTTATCAAAAAAAAATCAGAAAAATTTATTTCTGATAGTTAATCTCAAATATACCCATTGTTTGACTATTATAAAAACAAAAAAACCTTACTTAATTGTTTAAGGATAGCTAAAACAGACTTTAATGAGGTCTGAAAGCAAACCGCACTTTTCGCAAAGTTATGAAAAATGTAGTTAAAAGGGGGATTAGCTGTTAAAAGAGTACATTTTTAAACCTAGAAGTTCTTGTTTTAGAAACTTATTATCCTAAGCCAATAAGTTCATTGCATTGCAATAAAAAGCCAGATTTCGATTTTGGAATATTTAGTCAAAACATTTAAAGCTAAAGCATTTATTTTTTCCTGTGCATACAGTTCTAATAATATGGTGTTAAGTTGTTAATAAATAAAGACTCACCAAGTCTAATAAAATAATTCATGACCAAATTTGAGTTTCAGTTTTTGAATTAACCTCGCTTTTGGTAGCAGAATTATTTTATAGCACTTGAATCTATAGTCTCTTCTCTCAGTAAATAAAGTGTTTGAATATACAAATAGCTAATTGAAATCTTTTGAAAATTTGTTTTTATTCCCATTAAAAACTGTTTTATAATCAGTTGGTTTACTGATAGGTTCTTTAAGAAGTAAACTATCTTTGTACATACAATTGATATCAGATTCATACTCATGCTAAACCAGAAAAACAATTGCTCCACTCAAAATTTTGAGAACGTTTATAAATTCTTAATTTATTGAACTAAATTTTTACACCAACTTGATATGAGATTTATATTCCATTCTTTAACCAGCGAGGAGGTATGTAAAGCAGAGGTACTGCAAAGGTAGAACTAACTTCTGGTGATAAACATCGAATGGATATGTAATATATCTATAAAAAAATGTTACATATAATGAAGAACAATACATCTTTTAAATTAAATACACAAACATAACAGATCATACCCAACCAACATACTAGTTGCTCTGATCACAAGTTAATATATAAAAGCTAGATTTTTACATACGATGCAAGACTAGTATTCCATTCTTTAACCTGAGCGAAGGTATTGCATAGGTATAAATAACTTCTGAAGCTAGGAACAGAATGGGCACCTACCTAATATATAAAATCAATATATTAAAAAATAATATTTTAAACTAACATCACACAGATATTAGAACAAAATAAAATTATCTTATATACAAATTAAAGATCTCATATAATTTATCTTACTTTTTAATTTTTTTTTGTTGTTGTTGTTTTTAATTTTTTAAATATTTTAACTAAATTTGATGACCACAAACATGACAAAGACCTTGTCTATAAAATGAATTTTCGCCACGCTCAGAACACACAACACACTTTCTCACCTTAGAGGCTTGAAGCTTCCTATCAGCTTTGCTGTGCAATTCAAAGCGTTTTAAAACAAGATGCAGCTTTTGCTCCTAATTTCTTACTGAATGCAACTGTCTTAATTCCTTATTTACGCTTTTATGCAAACACTCTCCCTCCTCTTCACTCAGCAACCCAATAGTTTTATGCAATTTTACAAATAGTGGCACATTAAAAATGAGTTCATGCATTTTTCGCGTGATACTTTCTTTTAGAAAGCAATCATGAAATTCGATAGCAAATAAATTTATATATTGATGAAGCTCAGTAATTTCGGCATCTGAAAGAAATTTTCGCTGAAATAGAATAGGTTGCAACTTATTAAAAACACTAAACACACGTACAAATCTATTTTTAATAGCTTCATCATCAATAACACTACAAAGTTTATAGTGGTTTCTTAAGACTATTTTGCAATGATTACCTACGAACACATTACCGTGGTACGCTTGTCGCTCAACCTTCATATCTTCAAGGGCCTTATTAAGAGACCTCTCATGAGTCCCCATGCTACTTTTGGATATTTTTTCTAGGTCTTCACACTCCACCTGCAATTTAATATATTCAGTGTCTAAAACTTCGCGTTGTGCACGTATAAAAGAAATTTTTTCAGAAATATAAAGGTCAAGACATTCTATATCTTCACCCTGACATGCTAAACACTCATACTTCTCAATGTCACACAATACACTCTTTTCCGAATCACCAATAATTTCACAAAACTGATGAAACAATTTTTGGCACGTACCACACTGCACCCAATCAATGTTACAATCGTATTTTGTAATTAAACACCTAATACTATCACACATTTCTTGCTGTTTAAAGGTTATTTTTTTATTGGAGGAGTTTAGAGATAATTCAGAAATATTTTTATTAAAAGCTAACCAACGCGCCTGTAGATTTGCAACGTCTACAAATTGATTTCCTAATAAACGTAAAGCTTCTGCTGTTTTAGAACATTCAACGCTTTTAGCAGCCCACAATTCATTCGTTCTCACATTCTCATTATGCGACAAAGACGAAACAGCTTGACAATCTAAAGTCTTACACTCCTTCAACAATAACTTATACAGTTTTAACACAACTCCTAACATAATATGCAAAACAGGTGGCACTACATTATCTAAAGTTATTATGGGGAAAATCACAGGAGCAATAATTGAATTATGAAACTTACCTAAAGTTCTTAGGTTTCCACCTTGTCTATTCTCACACAAGTTCTCATTGTAAGCACTTTCCAGAGATTGTATTGTCCTCCTTAAGATGTTACAATTAGCAGGTGTGTGAGGCATAGAAGCATGGTATCTTAGAGAATTCAACTTAACTAGGTCTGTAGAACTAGGAAAGCTAGCAGCTGAACCCTGGTGTCCCAGAACATCATCGATAAAATGAAAATCTCCACCTAAGAACAACCTGACTATTTTGCCTTTTAGCTTAAAATCTGACGACTGAATCCTTTTAATGTCGTTGGCAAAATGCCCGAGAACTAAGGCTATATTCTCACGACAGTCTGAACCCTGATACATACAAAACAAGTGAACATCGTATACAGACCCTGATGATTTAGAATTGACAACTTCAAAATGGAATTTCATATATTTCCCACCCTTATCACCAGCAAAAAGAAGCCATACTTCTTCGCCAAAACCGACATCCGAATTAAGGTGGTCGCGTACATAAAGATTAGTAAAAACCTCTTCAATATAAGTTGTCAAATTCTTGACCATCAGTACAGATACTAAACAAGGTGCTTCATTCGCAGATGGATAAAGTAACATGGACTTCACAGTGACATGTTCTTTATTGACATGCATTGTCCGCATTTCTTGTTCTTGTCTCATCTTGGGCTCAGATGGGAGAATCCTTGCACCAAGACTACACAGAATACGTCTTAGTCTACGGAATTCAGCCGTGGGCATCCTTAATTGGCTCTGTAGCTCTACAGCATCAGAAACACTTAACTGCTTAACTAAACCCAACTTATTTGCAACACAACAAAATACTGACTTTTCACAAGACATAGAATCACAAAACAACATAGACAAATCACTATCTAAATCTGAACAAGCTAATAATCGAAGGAATATAAAAGCAAGTTTAGATCGTTTAGCTGCAGCATGCCTACCTAACTTAGAATAAGGTTTACCATTTCCTAACTTAATGTTAGTATATTTTTTACTAACTATTGGCTTTTTAACTGATATATTCTGTGGATTACTTAATTTAAACCCACAAAATAATTCAGAGGAACCAATGTTGTCGTAGTCTAAATAAGAATCAACCACAACTAAATCCTTATTGCAACTAGCAAAACATTTGCAAATTTGGCAACTGTTCTGGCTTAAATCACTAATTTTCGCAATTCTTTTTTCAATAATAATTTTTTTTAGCAATCTTACATTTTTGGCACGAGCAGATGCAAATTTACGCTGTGCTGTTTTAATTTTTTTTTTTTTTTAAAGTTGGAACTGCTCCTCCTGTTTTAGCCTAATACTCATTGTGTCTAATTGAGAACATAATGAGTTACAATGTGTGTTGAGAGCCCTATTTTTAGAATTTAAATCTGTAATTTCAGCTTCCAATATAAATACTTGCATTTAAAATTTTTCTATTTGCTCCATATTTGTTTTATTTTCAGAAGTTAATTGATCAATTTGATTCAGTAGCTCCTGACTGTTGTTTAAAGTGAAAAAGTCGTCTGCGTCTGCTGATTTTTTTTTTTTGGGTGGAGCTTGCGACAGTTGCATTTTAAAAAATTCTTCGTTTTTTATAGCTTTAAAATTTTTTTTATATTTCTTTTTTTGTCGTGTTAACTTGAGGCACATTTTATCAAACTCGTCATTACTAGGCATATCAAAATCAATTGGCAAAAGAAAACTCATAAAACTAAATAAATCACTTCTTATTTTAAAGACTGTCATTAAAATGGAAATGACATTGTTACTGATCTTATCTGTCCTAATTAATCGCTTAACAAAAGGAAAGTTACACCTATCTTCCCAACCATTTTTCCATCCAATATGTTGTTTTAGAATTTCCCTCTCAGTTGAATACATAGTTATCAAAATAATATTGACTTATTAATCAATATAATAAAAACAAATAAAATAATATTAATTAACAAATATATGCACAAGATAAAAGTGGATTTAACAACTTATCTGATATTAGTTTGATAATCCAAAGAGAAAAATTCCGCGTAACTTTGTTTACTTTATTCTTAAAAAATTGACTCGCCGAAACAGTTGTTTGGAGAATATTCGTTAATAAATAGTTTGGGACGTAACGGATAAAGGTTACGTCATCGCAAAAAAAACGTCAACACAAATGTACGCCTAAAACTAACAAGATTAGTTGTAAAACATGACATTTTTGAAAACATATTTCATAACATAGCTGAAGGCAAGTAAAATAATTTTTTTATTTTCATTTGCATAAAAGGTTGAAATTTCATTAACTTACGTCATCCATCAAAAAATTTATGTTTTGCATTTAAAAACGATTAATTAAAAAATATAAATGCTTTAAAAACAGTCTTTTTGTAAAAAAATCTCTAGGATGACGCAGGAATCTGATAGAATGGGCATTTAGGGTTAAGCATTTCAAATTTCAACTATCAAGCACTGAGCTATGTTATGAAATCTTAGTTGGCCCAACTCATGTTTTGCGGAAAATATGCGAAAATTAGAAAAGTGGTTCTAAATTTTTAAAAATATTTTGGCAATATTTATTTTTATACCAAATAATGTAAATATTTATTTAACAAGGAAAGATAGATCTTTTATATTTTTTTAAATGCAAGATGAAAGCATTTATATAAAAAAGTTACTTTTAATTTAAAGTTTGTGAATTTTTATACTTTTTGACGTCACGCTATATATATATATATATATATATATATATATATATATATATATATATATATATATATATATATATATATATATTTTTATATATATATATATATACATGTATATATATATATATATATATATTTTTATATATATATATATATATACATGTATATATATATATATATAAAAATATATATATATATATAAATATATATATATATATATAAATATATTACAATTGCGAACTCTACAAATAAAGTGCCCAATGTTCTTAAAGAATAGAACAATAATAAATTAGTCAAAAACAGTTATCAATTTTTTTTTTTTTGAAGAAAAAAATATATAAGTTTTTTTACTATATATATATATATATATATATATATATATATATATATATATATATATATATATATATACATACATACATACATATTGCATTATTAAGTTTAAAGCAAAAGTTTGAACAATCGACCTTACTCACACACTGTGGATTGCTGTCAACAACAAAGGATCAATCATCTCAAGCCACTGTATAATTAAATTCTTTTGAGTAAAATTAAATTCTTTTTTTAATTTTCCACATTTTGTTTTCTAGTCTTATGTAGGATTATGTGGGTTAAAGTTATACATAATAACTAATGTGTATGTGGTATAAAAGTGCTTGACAAAAAAAACAATTTGTAACAGATGAGCTGAATTTAAAAAAAGGAACAATATGATGATGATTGGTTTTTTTATTACTAAAAAATTAATATTTTTCAGATATACATTT